ACTAAAGGCCACTAAGCTCTATACTTTTACTTGTCTACTTTTGTTTTTGTTTTTGGACACACCCACAGTGCTCAGGTCTTACTCCAGGCTCTGTGTTCAGGGATCACTGCAGGTGAGGTTCAGGTGACCATATGGGGTACCAATGAATCTGGCTTGGATTGCATGTAAGGCAAATGCCTTACCTCCAGCCCTAAACTACATACTTTTTTTTCTTTTTTGGGTCAAACCTGGCAATGCACAGGGATTACTCCTGGCGGTGCTCGGGGGACGATATGGGATGCTGGAAATCGAACCTGGGTTGGCTGCGTGCAGGGCAAATGTCCCACCTGCTGTGCTGTTGCTCCGACCCCTAAACTATATACTTTTAAAAGGTTCTCCGTTGGGTAAATGCTATCTCATCTTACTTAATTTTCTTTATTTACCTTAGGTCTGGGGACCACAGCCTGGAGTGCTGGAAGGTCAAGCAGCATCAGGGGTCACCCTTGAGGTCTCCATGCGTGCCCACTCTTTGGGTAGTCTGGTTCTTGGGCATCACTCCCAGACATGCTTGGAGTGCATGCAAAGCTCAGTCCTTTGGGCCACCTTCCCAGCCATTACCTCATTTAGAAATACAACCAGGGAGCACAGCCATAGTACAGGGGTGATAGTGCTTCCTCCACAACTGGCAGATCCTAGTTCAATTTCCGGCACCTTGTAGTGCCCTGAGCATGGCAGGGTATAATTCTGGAGGCCCCTGATTCCCACTGGGGTGGCCCAGGAACCCCAGTGCCCAGCACTGGACTGTTGGGTTCTCACTGATGGCCGGCAAGACTGGCCAAGAACTATTAAGGGGGTCCCTGGGCTTCCTGTATACTATTGCGGAAATGACACCAACACCCTCTCCCCCCAAAAAGAGAAAAATATAATCAGCTATGGGACAGGTACTCTGTGTGCCCTGGTGAGGCGAGTAAAAAAAAAAAACATCAGAAACCTAGAGACACTATGTTGGTCCTGGAATTTCATCTCATGGAGCAGCTGGGCTCCAGTTTGTGAGGGGGATGGGAATGAAGGGACCAAGGAAAGATGGGAGCCAGGAAAGGCACGGGGAAGGAAACCCGGCAGAGCATCTGGGGGAAAGAGCAGATTCACATCTGCTGGGCTCATAGCACCCAATCTACTACTAGAGTGAGCCAAAAAATGCTGAAGCAGAAAGATGGAGGCCAAAGGGCCAGTGGGAGGAAGGGAAATAGCAGAGACTATTCCTGAGAAAAAGCCAGATGCCTCCTACAGAAAAAAATTCTTTATAAAAGGAAGTAGTGGCCAAATTAGGAAAAAACCCACTTTCTTAGAATGGCCTACAAAAATAACGCCAGAGGGCTAATATAGGACCATCGGTAAGGCACTTGCTTGCCTTGCAGGAAGCTAACCCTGGTTTGATCCTTAGAACCCCATAGGGTCTCCCTGAGCTCTGCCTTTGTCATCCTTTGATCACAGCCAGGTATGGTCCCCAAACCAAAAATAAATAAATGAATAAAGCCAAAGTCACTGAGGAATGAATGAATGGCAGAGCGTGAAAGAGGAGGAAAGGAGAGTAGAAACAGATTCATTTAGATAAACATTGCAGGAATGACATTACTTGCTATGGTGATTCATTAAAAAAAATGAACAAGATTAAAAAAATAAAAAAAGGAAACAGTTAAACTTGAATAAAAAGACATCACTTGCTGGATCATAAGATTTAAAGAGATTTCTAGTCAGCTTAGAGCAGACCCACTCTTCAGTTTTGTCTTTTCTTTTGGTTTCAGACTCCAGTTCTTGGTAACAGCTCATCAATTCACAGAATCACAAGGAAGATGCTCTTCAACGCCTTCCTATGTCCTGCCAGCAAAAGGCAAGGCAGGATACCACAGCCCAGGCTCTAGAGACAATCCTCATGGGCTCGGCCTCACCTACCAAACAAAGGAATACACTTTAATCTCTGGGGCTTCTTGGGAATGTGTGGGGAAGGTTTCTGGTCTACGCAGGGTGGCTGAGAAAGCTGGACCTTAGGAAAGAGAGAGGTCTGTGGTCACAGGCCAGAGCCTCTGTGTTAACTGAACTGAATAATTCTGGGTCACCTGAAAAACAGGGATGACATCAATGGCCTTCAGGGAGGAGATATCCGAGAACACAGGCAGCTCTGAGAACACAGGCAGCCAGCTTCAGCAGGCCTAGGGCAACCGGCACAGAGGGGCAGTGGGCAGTGCCTGAGCAGGTGGACACCTGGCCCTGAGGAGAGGCAGGGGCTGAGGAAACACTGTCCTGGGGGAGGAATCTGGGGCTGCAGGGCCACAAGTGTCAAAAGGCTAAAATCATTACCCCAGAGTCCACTCACAACCCTGTTTCACTTGAGAAACGTTTGCATGACCCTTGATTTCTTGTGAGATTTTTGCATGATCCAGGATATGCAGGTCTGTAAACCAGGTATACACAAAAAATATTTACCAATAATATATCTTTTTAAATGGTTATTATTTTTGTTCTGCAGTCACAACCAGCAGTGCTCAGGAATGACTACCCCCGAATCTGTGCTCAGGAATGACCCCTGACAGTGCTCAGAAGACCATGCATGGTGCCAGGGATTTGAACGAGGTTCATGGCTGCTACAGCCACATACAAGGCTGGCGTTTTAACCCCCTGTACTAACTCAAAGGCCCTTCAGCGCTTCTTGAATCCTTCCATCCTTCAGAGCCTTATAAAACAATTTTCGAGTTATGCTTGTAGTTTATTCTTGGCATAACTGACATAGAACATTGTCTATAATGATCTGGTCGACACCCAATTTACACGCATCACTTCTTGTATCCTGGGCATCACATTTAAGTCTCTGGACAAAGGTAAATTAATGGCTCCATGAGTGAATATTGACTCCTGGAATAAACAGAAGTTTGCAAACTTAGCCAGGGAGATAAGAGACCCCCTAAAGAAACAGTGCAGAAAATTCCCCAGAGAGTGGGGACAAAAAGTCCTGAAGAGTACGGAGGTGGGCAGGGCCCAGCCTAAGGTGGGAGAGAGGGTGTCCCTCAGGCCGGGGTGCCTCGCAGCCCCTCTTATCACAGAGAGCTGGTTGTGACTGGTGTGTTTAAAACTGCTGGTGTGTGGTGATACAAAAAAGGAGACCTATTTTTTTTTTTAAGTGATTTTGAACTCTGTAAAGCCAGTTACAGCTCTCTCTCTCTCCGGCACTGGCACGAAGAATTTGGGTCCATGCAATCTGAGCTTTCGTTTTAGAAGCAGAATGAAGTGGAGTAAATACTCCCCGACCAAGGTCTGGGAGAGGGCAATGAGGTCATCTTCTGAGACTCTGCTGTTGGCCTGGGCCAACAGGGAAGGTACCACCGAGGGCACTGGCTTTCCTGTTCCTTGTCTGGCCTCTCTCTCTCCCTCCCAAAGCAGATCCAGAAGTCAGTTGGGGATAATTAGCCAGTGTTTGCTCAATTATCTTTATGGCCTGGTCAGAGTTGTGTACCATAGCACACACTGGTGGCACTCCCGAGGAAGCAGGGCACCACGCAGTATTGGCCTTAAATATATTCCCCGAAGGTGGCCCAAATTCTTCAGGGGTACACTGGGATGACAGGAGTCCACAGAGACACCACCTGCATACCCCAATCCTTCCCATACTCCCCTCCCCCATCTGAACTGCAAGGATTTGTATGCTCAAGAGCTGGCCCCCAAAGTAAAATCCCAAAGTGTGATCTGACATGGCCTATCACTGACTGCAATTTGGCAGTTTTTCACTGTTTCCTTGAAGACCCCAAGAGATAAAGCACCTCACATGCAAGTGGGCTTAGTTGCGGCAAAACTTTGCTATTCATTTGGAGGCTCTTAACTGTCCCCAAAGCAACAAATTTGAAACTCAACTGTGAGTGCAAGAAGGAGCACTGAGAAAATGTCTTTGTCGCCTCTTAATCTTGAAGCATCCACGCTAAGATCAGCATGGAAGCAATACAGGGAGCACAATCTTCCACTGATAAGAAAACCAGGCAGTATTTATTTCTGCATGGAAAATGAAAAAAGCGGCTCAAGTGCAAACACTAGCTGACTCTATAAAGAAGGGAACAAGCAGTTTGGGCCCTTCCTTAATAGCGCCTTTATAAGAACAATAGATGGTTTGCTTTGGAAGAGAGGTTGGAAAATACGTTTATTTGCTCTAGCAGACAGATATTTAAAAATACAGCATTACTGGGAACATAACTTTGGGGAGCGGCTTCCTCCTTGTAGCTAGCCCTTACCTAAAAATAGGAGTCTGGGGGACTGGGCTCCTCCTCCTGGTGGAGAAGTTTTTCCTCAACCCTCCGGGACCTGGGTAGGGAACGGGAAGGAGGGTTGGGGGAAGGTCCTAGGAAACTTAGAAAACTTCCCAGTAACCGCTGTGACCCTGGCTTCCCACACTCCACCTCCTGCACCTTCACTGCTCAATGGGCCACGGCGCTGAACTTTTTCCACACTTTGTCCGCCCCGTCAAACGTGCAAGGAAAACAATTTCAACAAAGCCTGCGTGGGAGCGGTTCTCCCCTTGTCTAGTGCAAAGACCGGGACGTTTACTAATGGAGAAACGCGGGGTCTTTGCTTTTAGGAACGATAAGTGGCCCTGGGCGAAACGGGGCACGCCGCGAATGCCAGCCGGGTTGCTGCAGGCTTCCCCCAGGAAAACCCGACACCCCTTTCCCCGGGTCACCGGCCGGCTGCGGCCTCCAAACCTGAGTCTAGCCGACGGCGGGGGGAGCGCGCCAAGGGGTACGGGAGTGCGGATGCTCCACCTGGAGAGGAGCCCTGGAGAAAATTGGGGCAGAGGGAGCGGTCGGCACCCCACACCCCGGACTCGGAAAGGAGAGGCCAGCGTACCCCATTGAACACCCCCCCCGCCCCACAACACACACACACACACACACACACACACACACACACACACCACTGCGAACTTTCTCCTAGGGGGCCAGCGGCGGTCCGGGAGGGCACGCCCGGGAGGCAGCTCTCACCTGGCTTGCGGTTTCGAACGCGGGCACCCAGCAGCGGGCCGCACAGGCTGAGCCCCGCGGCCACGAGCAGCAGCCGCCGCGGTCCCATTGTCCCGAGGCTGGACGCGGCGCGGCCGGGCAGGGGCGGCTCGGCGGGCGCGGCGCCGGGTTCCCGCTCCCGGGCGCTCCCGGGCGGGCCGTGCGGGCCGGCCGAGCGCGGGCTGCGGCGGGCAGGAGGACGCGGAGGCTGCGGGGGGCCCAGGTGGCGGGCGGATCTGGCTGCGTTTGGCGGGGCGGGGGCGTGCACGGGGGCGGGCCCGGGGCCCGGCAGGCCGAGCGAGGGGCGCGGGTAAGGGCGCCCCCCGGCGCGCAACGTGCGCCTCGACACGGGCACCGCCAGCCGCCGGCCGCCCCGGCCGCGCGCAGCAAATCAGACGCCCGGGGTGGAGAGGGGGGCGGGCACCGCGACCCCTCGGTCGCCGCTCGAGCTGGGCGCCCCGGCCCCCTCGCTCTGCTCCGGGTGCCCGCACCCACCCAAACCAGTTTTCCCTCCGAGCACCGTTGACTTGCGAAGCTTCCCGGTGACTCAGTCTGGAGCTGGGCCCTTGAGCCGAGGTCTCCCACTTTCCTCCAGGGGTGCAAAGACGCTAGCAGAGGGGAACCCAGGATCCAGGATCCAGGATCCAGGATCCAGGGGATGCGTCCCGGAATGCACGGGACCTCCCCACCGAGCGCCTGCACCCCGTTAGGGAACTGGACTCTGAGCTGTAAGTTGCAAAATGACTTAGGGAATGTGGACTGAAAACTCTTCTGTACCCACAGGAATGACCCCAGAGAACGGGGAGGTCTTATATGTACAAAGAATTATTTTGTTTTGGGGCCACACCCGGCGGTGCTCAGGGCTCACTCTTAGCGGGTTTGGAGGACTATATGGGATGCCCACGATTGAACCGGGGAAGACAAGTACCCTGCCCATTGTACCATCGCACTGGTCCCTAGGCAGAATTCTTGACAGTTTTTATTTAAAAAAGAAAGAAAGAAAGAAAGAAAGAAAGAAAGAAAGAAAGAAAGAAAGAAAGAAAGAAAGAAAGAGGAAAGAAAGAAAGAAAGAAAGAAAGAAAGAAAGAAAGAAAGAAAGGGAAAGAAAGAAAGAAAGAAAGAAAGAAAGGGAAAGAAAGAAAGAAAGGGAAAGAAAGAAAGAAAGAAAGAAAGAAAGAAAGAAAGAAAGAAAGAAAGAAAGAAAGGAAAAAAGGGAAAAGGATTGTCTCTAAGTTAGACCTGCGTGTATCGGGCACTGGTTATTTTCACGGTCACGCTGCGAGTGGAACTAAGCATCACAGTTTCTCCTCCCGTCTCTCGGACGCGTCTGTCGTCTTTTCCCGTGGAGCAGAGAAGCTCCTTTGTCACTGGAACTCGGTGCTGGCCACGCCCCCCGCAGAACTCGGGAGCCTGCAGAAAAAGGGGCGCGCCGAGGGCTGTGTCCCTGGAACTTCCAAGGGACGCTGGTCCGGAGGGGACAGGGGCACCCCGCGCGCACTGGTCTGCCGAGGGGATTAGCACGCAGCTCGCGTGGCCCCGAAACCATATCTGGGTTTCAGACCGCGACCGGAATTGAGCCCCCTCCAGGCGTCGTTTCCAGGAAAACTTCACCCGCAGCCTTTTCTGGACTCAGACGCACGAATGTGTGTGTTCCGCATGCTCTGGCTGATAAACTGGTCAAGGTTTTCAGAGCCTTGTTGGAAGGGAATTTCATGCTGGCCGTGTCAGTCCCCAAAAAGAACCCGGTGGGGCCCGTCAGCAGCGCAGCGACGTCGTGGACATAGAAGACTCCCAGTAAATTTCTAGATCATCTATCAAAGTCATTTTTAAAAAAATTATTCCTTTCCAGTTCTCGGAGGAGTACGTACACAAGAATATGTGTAAACTGTTAAAACGACCCATTTCTCGGCTGTTGGTACATTATATGACTGAAACCCAATCATGAGCAACTTTGTTACTGTGTATCTCAGGGTGATTAAATTAAAAAAAAATTTTTTTTTAAAGATCCACTTCTTCATTCTCTGTAAACATTTTTTTTAACCTCCATGGGAAGACACTATTGATTTTAAGGCTCATTACTTAAATTTAAGTAACAAGCAAGGAAAAGATGCTGCTATTAAATGTCAACAATTGCAGGGATGTTCAAATCACAGAAAAGGCATCTTGGGGCCAGGGAACACAGTGCAGGGGACCTGAGTTTGATCACTGTCGCCGGGTCTGGAGGTACCCCCCCCCCCCCCCACATCATCTACTCTCAGAACCTCTGGGGTGATCTGGTGACATTATGTTCCACAGACCCAAGATTGCATCCTCCCATTGTTCCTTTGGACCATCTACCTTGACTGATCTGTTCAGATTGGGTGGTACCCCTAACCGCCCCCCCCCCATAGAAAGGTCATCTTACAATAAATGGAACGTTGTAAAACTATTGTCCTAATTAATGCATATGGCAAATACATCTCACAGCCTCCAGGCTGCAAGATTTCCTTTATCTCAGAACTTCACTTCCCCCATCACCACTGCTAAAAGCTGCTGCCAATATTCAAGAAATTCTAACACCTTCAAGTATGTCTGTTCTCAAAATTAAAAAATGGAACATTTAATTTTACCCTCCCCCTTTTTATAGCCACACCCACCAGTGCTTAGGGCTTACTCCTGGCTTTGTGTCTCTGGAAGAGCTCAGGGGACCATAAGTGGTACTGGGTATCACACCTGGGTCAGTCTCATGCAAGGCAAGCACCATGCCTGCTGCACTCTCTCTCCTTCACCTTGAACCAGGTGATTGATTTTCCTAGTTCTCATAAAATAGAATTTCAGTATAGCTTAACACTTCTATATGTGTATTGTATTGACCACACCCACCACCAAAGTTCCAGCTACATCCCATCAAAATGATGCCACACACAGGTGAAAGAGGCCTCCTCAGAAAGATTAGGAACAGCTATTGGTGAAAGCATGGAGAAGGAACTCTAGGGCATTGTGAGGGGAAACAGAAATTGCTGCAGTCTGTAAGGAAAAAAATCTATACAGAATCATTTGAAAACTAAAGAGGACAGGGGTCCAAGAGACCGTGAGACCCCCAGATATGATCCCTGAGCACAGAGCCAGAATGAGCACTGCTGATGTGGCCGAAAAACAAAAAGAAACAAAAAGGAAAATGCTATATGATGCAGCAATAGAATTCTAGAAATCTAAAGAACATGAAAACACAAATTCAGTTCTTTTTCTTTGTGGGGGTGCAGGGCATACTCAATGTGCTCAGGGTTTACTCTCGGATCTATGTTCAGGGATCACTTTGGGCGGGGCTCAGTACCATGTTTGACCACGTTTGATATGTAAGGCAACTGCCCTATTTGCTGTAGTATCTCTCCAGCCCTAACGCAGCTTTGTTTCACTCCGGAGAATTCTGTGTTCTTGTACCCCCATCTCTCTCTCTCTCTCTCTCTCTCTCTCTCTCTCTCTCTCTCTCTCACACACACACACACACACACACACTTACTTTCCCTCTCACATTTCTCTAAGTGAATTTCTTTAAATAAAACTTTTTACTTTACTAAAAAGAAGGAAGGAAAACATTAATTCAAAAAGCTATTTGTGGGGCCATAGGGCAGAACAGTAGTACAGCAGCTGGAGCATTTGCTTTGCACATGGCTGCCCAGGTTAGATCCCCGGCATCCCTTATGGTCCCCTCAGTACCACCAGGAGTGACCCTTAGAGACAGGAGGAACCCCTGAGCACTGCTCTCAACCCCCCCCCCCCCAATAAGATATCTGCGCCCATAGAATATTCACAATAGCCCCCAATTGAAGTCAATTTTAATACCCATGGACAGACTGGTTAAAGAAGCGGGGCTATGAGTGCAATGAAATCTTGTTCTGCTTTTAAAAAGAGATGGACTGTGCCGCCTGTGACCAAATGGATGGAAACGGAGGCAATTATACCAATAACATCAGGAAGCAAAAGACAAATGCCAAATGCTTTCACTTATGTGTGGAATAACACAGAGGAACTAGTTTAAAAAAAAAAGCACATTAGGTGGGGGACCATATGCAGTGCTAGGAGTTGAGGTATCGTGGCAGCCATCTCATGAGTGCAAGTGATTTTACTTCACTCTCCACAACCCAGATTCTACAGTTTTGACAAATACCCGCAGGTGATGACAATGTGTGAAAGCTGCCAGATCAAGGTTTTGAGAAACTTTATTCTCAAATAGTGGCTCCCTTGAGGTTGGAAAGATAGTGCTTTAGGTAGGGTATTTGCCTTACATGTAGCCAACTGGGGTTGGATCCCCAGAATCCCATATTTTGGGATAGGGACCGGGTTCCATCTGGTCCCTATTTTTTGTATTTAAAGTACATTTATATGGCTTCCTGAGCACTGTCAGGAGTGATTCCTAAATGCCCAGCCAGGAGTAACCTCTGAGCATTGCTGGGTGTAGCACCCAAACTAAAATCCAACCAAAAACCCAATTTAAAAAAATAATGGTTCTCAAACCGTAGTCTAGATTAGAATTATATAGAAAATTTCATTCTTAGTGCAGGGCCCCATCTGCGGTTTCTAATTCCATGGGCTTGGGGTGAGGAAAATTTGCATTTTTAATCAGATACCAGGTGATGCTGATGTGTAAGCTGCAGGAGAAAATTAGAAAATTACTTTGAAAATTATTAATTTAGAGGAAAAATAATTGGACAGTACTCCATACGGTTTCTGTACCTTTCTTTAAGCCACAATATTTCAAGCATAGAAAAATACAGACTAACAATGCCAATGGCCCTATAAAAAAGCATAAATCTATACATGTAAAAATATATGTATCATTCTGTTCAAGCATTTTTTTTAAAGAGAATTTTTTTTTTTTTGCTTTTTGGGTCACACCCGGCAATGCACAGGGGTTAATCCTGGCTCTGCACTCAAGAATTACTCCTGGCAGTGCTCAGGGGACCATATGGGATGCTGGGAATTGAACTCAGGTGGGCCGCATTCAAGTCAAACGCCCTACCCGCTGTGCTATTGCTCCAGCCCCAGTGTTCAAGCATTGTAAAACATTTTTCTGATTGTACTATTTCAGTCCCTATTTTTTGTATTTAAAGTACACTTAATTTTATTTTAAAGCTTTTTTTTGTGGTTCTTGGGATCAGACCTAAGTCTCATTACCACTGAGCCACATTCCTGGCCATTTGTGTGCTTTAAAATGCTT